TGCTCAGGGGAAGGAAAAAGTCTGCTTCAATATTATTTGGAAGTAACAAACATGTTGAAATTTGCTACCTTTCTCCAATGCTTTCTTCTTGTCCAGAGTAAGTTTATTCATGAAAACCTTGGATGTAACAAGAACTTTAACTGAGGATGAGGTTACAAAAAAATGAAGAGTAAAAAACCAGCATATCCGCAGGACAAACATTTTCTTAATGCAGTAAGGTTTGGCATTACACCAACCCTAAAGACTTTGGAGCCAGAACCCATGTGGCATTACCTCAGAGCTTTGGAACACATAATCAAAGTGAAAAATATTATTACTGGACCAACTAAATTGATCACTTCATCTATTCATTTTTTTTATTTCTCAGAGATCATCCTAATCTACAAATACAACTACTGTGGCAACTGTGGGGTTTACATTGTTGTTGTTGTTATGTTTATTTTTATTTATACCCCACTTCTTCTCTCCATATGATCATTCAAAGTGGCTCTCAAGTAAAAGCATTGCAATACAACTTAAAATATACAAATATATAGGTATTAAAACAGTATTAAACATTATTAAAAGCATATAAAATCACAGCAGTCCCCGATGATCTTAAAAACCTTCTTTAAAAGCCTGCCTGAATAAAAAGGCTTTAACCTGCCAGCAGGGAGGGGACTCTTCTGGCTTCTCTGGGCAAGGAATTGCAGAGTCGAGGGGCAGCCACTGAGAAGGAAGGTCCTCTTTCTTGTTCCCATCAATTGAGCTTGAGATGAAGGTGGGACCGAGAGAAGGGCCTCTCCTGAAGGGCCGGACTGTAGCACAGCTGGTTAATTGCCAGTAGCAATAGATCACTGCCAACCAGAAGGTGGCAAGTTTGAAGCCCGAGTTGGGTTGAGTACCTGACTGTTAAGCCTAGCTTACTGTCCACTGAAGCAGTTTGAAAACAGCTGAGCTGTGAGTAGAGAAATTAGGCACTGCTTAACAACACCAAAAAAATGCCAGCGATCAAAGAACAAGGAGGAAATACGATCAAAATGACTCAACATCATGGTGGATGAAGCAACAGTACCCCCTGTGGCTAGAATCAAGCATAACCTCCAGACACTGAAGTTGGAAATGCCAAAATACCTCTATCTGTCTGTCTGTCTTGTATGTCTAAAAACGGCATTGAATGTTTGCCGTGTCTGTGTGCATTGTGTTCTGTGTGCATTGTTTGCCGTGTCTGTGTGCAGATTTTAATGCTATATTAAATATGAAATATATTAATATATTATATAATATTAAATAGGGTTTAAAATTATTTTTAATGAGACTGTTTATTTAATGAGTTTTGAAAATATTTTAATATATACAGTCCTAAATGTATTTTACATAGAAACAGCTTTGCATCTTCAAGGCTTTGGGAGTCACATTCATGTCTTCTGTACATTTGCATTCAGAACATCTGTTTCTAATATCACAGAGTATTTGCCCCCCGCCGCCCTACAACTCTTCTATATATTTTGTTATAAAGGCTTAGAGACCACTCATTAAACAAAAGAATGTATCTCCTCTAGGTTTCATATGTAGTTTCCTGTGCCAAGCCACTTCTTATTTGTGCATTTTGCTGACTCTTACAAACTTCTATTGCTTGGGGTTTGTAGTCCCTCTAAAGAGGAATGGATTATTTTGCAACAAGAAACTTCTTTTCCTGTTGCATTTAAACCCTGTATGTTTGTATGTGTACACACATGCATGTATATATAAAACCATCTTGTTCTAATTTCTGGCTGAATTAGCATTCATCCGTTAATGATAATTCTTACTAGCCCACTTAGTATTGGCAACAGATGCTTCTGCTTCCTATTATGATCTGGGGGGAAAGGAATGAAATACAATTTCAGAAACTGTTAATATCTGGACACATCTGTCTCATTAGAAGTATGATTTCAACTGTGAGACTGTGTTTCCCAAGCATTAGCATGGCATGCAGGCCTATGAATACTCCAGAAAAACTAGAAAACATCTGTTAGCCTCCAAACGTTGAGGAGTTATTTTTGTTGGAAATGACATGGGAGCACATAACAGCAATAAAATAGGTAAGTTTACTTGGCTCAAGATAAGAACAATAGGTGGCCTAGACAATGGTGGTGGTATGGAAACAAAGCATTTATACTGATTTTATAGCAGGCACAGAAATTGCTGTTTGGATAAATGGCAAGGGCACTTCCCCTCTCCTTGCAAATTGCTTTCTGTGAGATAGGAGGCCATGTGGATTCACACAATTTCTCCCCCACCTCAGTTATTTGAGGAAAATAGTTGTGATTGGCCTTGAGACAGGATGGGGATTGGTCTCAGGGACTCGTCACATTCCTCCACTATACTGTTTCAGGGCTGGACATAAGATTGTTCAGTAGCTGAAAGTACTCTTAGAAGCTCCTTCTTTCCTACGTCCAGAAATAAAAAATATTATTTTTGTTCAAAATATTAAAAAACCTCTTCAACATTAAACAGTAGATCATTTTGAACACATTTCCCATTTGGCAATTACTATAAAATGAGTAGAATAAATAGTAGGATGGATGGAAATAATAATCTCATGTTCACTACATACTGAAGTCTAAAAGTAGACCTCAATTGAACAGCTCTGAAAACATGATGATGATTATTATGAGGATGATTAGGTTTATTTATACTCCACTTTTTCTCTCTACAAGGAGACTCATGTTACCCTATAGCAAGTGTAAACATATTTACAAGAATACCTGAAATGCCAAACTGGTTTAGCTAAAGGACACATTTTCCTGGACCTAGGAACACAGTGTAACCCCTTTTATTTATATAAGAGTAACATAATATTTTCACTAAATGCAGGCATTTGCTGGGTGAATGTCATGTTGAGTAGTATTATGGTCATAATAGACAATCAAATTATTGGGAAGCTCTTTACTTCACAGTCATTAAACCAGTTAATGGAGTTGCTATCAGTTTTATCTTGCATTTCTGTCTAATGTTCTTTGGGAAACTGATGTATGTATGAAATGTGAGGATGAAGAGAAAAGTAAACTATGACAATGAACTTGGGTATAATGGTGGATAAAAACAGGTAAGGATATGTTTTAAACATGAAATGTAGTTTATGCAGTAAAATGGACCCATGTGCACATGAAACCCCTTTACATGCTGGCGTGCTGAACAAGTCTTTCCTTCTACTGTTAACCATCTTTCATTTAAGTATTCACTTGTGTATTGCAAGGTGTTACTGAATTATCAGAGCACCATTTATGGAAAGCTTTCCATTTATGTGGTATCATAAATGCACTGAGTTGATTGTCTCCTTGATGCCATTTTGTTTGTTTACTCCTTGATGCAACAGGCCTCTCTGCTTCATCTCCAGTCAGCGGTAACCATTGAGGATTTGGATAGCAAATTGGTTTGTCCATTGTCATACTTGTCAGAAGAGGAAGCCATGGTCTGCAAGGTCAGTATGGCCTCCCATACAACTTAAGTTCTCTGCTACCTTATTTTCTTAAGAACTTTTTGTAATATCAGTTCTGGAAGAAAGGTGTATCATAGACTTTTAGGGCAAGTCATCACATGAGCATCATGTCCTTCTCAACTGACATCTCCAGCTATCAAAATAAATATTTGTAAAGTGATACCTTGAGTTAAAAGTTTAATTTGTTCCATGACTGAGCTCTTAACTCAAAACACTCTTATCTTAAAGAGAATTTTTCCATTGAAATGCATTAAAATGCTCTATTGGTTCGGTTTTTCTGCCTGATCAGTTGGTTATATATATTTGTTAGTTCTAATAGACTTTAAATATCATTAGTCTATCCTCTTAAATTATTTACTTTTTTATGCCTCGCCTTTCTCCCCATGGGGACTCAAGGCAGTTAACCATCCCACACTTAGATCAATACATTTTTTAAAATAAACAATCAAATAAAACAGTGTAGATTTAGGTTAAAAGTTTAAACATAATAAATACACTTAAATAGACTTTCAAACTAACAACCCCCCCCCCCCAAATCCCACCCACACGTCCCCAGCAACATGCCTCTTATTCTTCCCCGAATGCCTGTGGGCAGAAAAGGGTATTGACCTGCTTGCGGAAGGCCAGCAGGGGTGGGGCCCTCATGGTCTCTCCTGGGAGGGAGTTCCACAGCTTGGGAGTAGCCATCAAAAAGGGCCTCCCCCATGTTCCCACCAACTGACGAGGCAGAAAAACTGAACCAAAACAGAGTGGAGACTAAATACACTTAATTGGAATTTTGAGTCTCTTGCTTTGATCACTTGTATGAAGGAATAACCCACTTGTGTGGATTGCTCCTTCAGCCAGCCTGGGAATATTTGTTACACATCAATGATATTCATATGTATAAAAGTTATCATGTGCAGAGAACCATAAAGATATTATACATATATGAAACTTTGTATACAGATGTATGGATTTCTCTTTCTCATTACAAAGGTTATGCTCCTTTTAAGATATAATTCACATTTGCTGCTTTAATGTATTTAATTATGTTTAATCATAGGAGAATAAGGATCTTTTCATTTGTTGACGTTTACTTGGCTAAATAAACTTCATTTAACCCTTGGATGTGCAGCAAGCAAATGCAGAATTAGAATGAAGGATAAATGATTGTATAAAACAGAAGAAAAGTGAAGCATAAATTACATAAAGTTATGGGGCAATATGTTTTTCTTGCTATGTCACTGCCTTTCAAGTTCTAAGCATTTATTATAGCAAGTTGAACGGCGTGACTTCACACAAGAGAGTTCTCAAAAGCTTTTTTCTGTTATATATAGCATTTCTGTGAAACTTAGCAGATCCATAGAATGATGAAACTGTGACACTCAATGGAAACATAAGCCAGGGAATGAAAGACTTCACCCCTCTGGCACAAAGACAACTTATGGGTAATGTATACTCTCCTTTTTTGTTAACCAAGCCAGAATATTTTCTGCAGAGCTATGCCTGAGTGTCATATTTCAAGTCCTTGTTACACTTTAATGTGCAAGAAGACAAACTGAAATGCTGCAGTCCTTTTGTATTCGAACTGCACAGATTTCATTTGCGACTAAATCCTTCACTTCAAAAAGACAAAGGCTATTAAATCCTGCATGGAGCCTACAGCATAGAGAGAGAATCAGGATAAATAAAGTGTTACCAGACAGACTTGGTCAATAAGAAAGGAAATAATGACTTTGGGATTCCTTTTTCTGAAAGCTTAGCTAGGTATGTAACCTTTAACATAGAGTAAACCTACAGTGAATTTATACTAAACATATGGGGAATGTTTATAAGAAAATGAAGATTAAGTTGACTGCAAATAATTCCCAAGTTTTTATTAAAACATTCCTGTTTTCTTTTACTTATGCAAGCGTATTGTGTAAAGAAAGCATCCAGCTGTGCCTTGACAGCCCAAGGACCTAAAGCATTGTGCTGCTTTCTAGTTTTCCTGAGTGAAGTTTGTCTTATTCTCAATAGCTGTATTAGCAGAATCGCTACACACAGGACCGAAGAGCGCCTACAGCGCCTTATCCCCAGGGAAAGGAACTATTTCAGACTTAACAAATCTTCTAGCACATTCCAGCATAATTCTCCTGCATACATTTCTCTCTTTTGCAGCTGGACATTAAATGACATCAAAGCAGAATCTACTGTTAGATTAGATTACCAGGTAACATATTACATTTACTTTTTAACTTACTGCTTAATATATTCTTGTGTTTACCTATTGAACAAACTCAATTGTGGTGATAACTTTAACATATGATAGTTCTATATATTAGAGACTATATGTAAAATGTATTTGCAGAAATTATTATGCTAATAATGCTAAATGTATGATTGATTTTTCATTACTGTGAATAGCAGAAGCAACAGATTAGTGATGGTGACAAAATGTATTGGGAAGCAGGATTTTTTAATCAGAATAGTTTCATGCTGTACATAACTACTATGTAGCTAAATTTACTTCTGTGACATTCTCAAGATATGAAATAAATAAAGACCATTGAATACTGTTAAAAAATCAGGTTCCCATACATAAACACACTGTGAAGAAGTGATTTTTATTCTTTGTAAAGTAGTCTATTAGAATAGGAATATTGATTTTAACAGGGAAATACTAAATAACAGACAAAGCAATTCAAATTAAAGATAATCTGAATGCTTACCCATTTCCAATGACTTTCTGGAAAATCGGAACTATAAAAATAGCAAGCACCCCAATGCAGTATTCTGTACCTGGGACAGTATGCTATTGTCACAAATATTGCATTTGACATATGTATACACGCAGGTGTGGGGGATATTTGTGCAATGTAGGGTAGGTCAGAGGTTACTTCCTGGATAAAGAAGAGGGACAAATCTCACTCTCAGCAGGCAACCAATCACTCTTGCTCATCCTAGCCCTTTATTCTGGGCAGAAAGTAAGGTTTGACTCAGGAGATCACATTCCTCCCTGTGACTCAGATATGATTTAATACCCAATAGCATAACGAGGAATTGTTACTGTGAGTCTTAGATTTCATTTGGGGTTCAAAGTGGTGAATGCAATATTTCTCAGGCTACAAGAGCCTTATAAGTTCCAGTTCTTATCTTGTTCAGGTACTGTCTATTCAGGTACTGTAGATGAGGGTTTCTTAAACTGTGGGTCTCAACCCCAAATGGGGTCTCCTTAGCTCAATGCTGGGGTCACAAAAATTGCAAAAATAAAAGGTTTCTGAATGCCACCCATTTACAAAAATCTGCGAGAATAATGGACTCTCATGAAAATGCTTCAGTTGTACGCCATAAAAAAGGAAAATCAGCCTGTTTAGCAAGCCTTGCAAATTCTGATTTGTTATCCATAAATGTATGATTTTATACTTATTTTATATACCTATATACCCAGGGTCACATAAAAAATGCTCAGGTGGAAAGGGGTCATGAGTGGAAAAAGTTTAAGAAGCCCTGGTACAGGCAACACAATATGGATAAATCCTGAGAGGCAAAGAGTCATCTCACTCTTAATTTCAAAGCTGTAAAAGACCTCCAATATTTTCCCTAGTGGCAAGATCCAGAACTTCATCTATCAAATTTGGACATGACATTAGAACATTGTCAGAGGTGGATGGCTAAGATGTGCAGGCAAAAAAATTTAAATGTACTGGGATAAAGTGCTGAAACTATTGCAAAAGTTGTAACTCATGATTATTAAAATTCAGAGTGCTGTGTTTATCAGCATGTTTTGCTTTCTAACTGGTCCAAAGAGTTTACAGTACTTCATTTAAAGTTTACCCAAGCTATGCAGTTTGCATAGCTGTTTTTCTCTCTCCTGTTGTCAGGCTAAATTGTTTCAAATGAAAAAAAAAACCCATACTCTTGGTTTAAAGGTAAGAATACTGCTCCACTTAAAGTGTAGAAAGGTCCCATTTTAGACCATGAACTCAGGAGCAGGTTACTCCAGGGTATTCGTGCCCCAGATCCAACACATGCCTGCGGAATCTGTGGCCATGTGTTCAGATGGTCCAACCTGTCCCTGTGACGGCCAGTCCCTTGCCACCACTCCCACTCCCCTGGAGTTCCCTGAAGGCACTTGGCCATCACCTTTCACATCTGCTGGTGTCAGAATGGGGTCCAACTCAATCAGGGTAGAGTGACCCCCTGTGTGGTGTATGAAGGTGTTGATTAGTGGGAGTGTGTAAATTTGAACGGTAGACTAGACAACCCCCCCCCCCCAAAAACACACAGGATCCAGCTGTCCACATGGCTTTGAAGCTCCAGGATACTCTGGAATTTTGTGCAGACTCCAGAGTATACCCCAACTTTGCTTAAAATGGAGCAAAGTCAGGCTTAAGGGTGGAAAACCTAGAAAACTCACTAGAAGTTGCCATGTGTTGTGTAGACTGTTCATTCATAAACTGTGGTCTCAACCCCAAATGGGACGCTTTTAGCTCAATGTTGGGATTCAACAATATTTTATTACGGTCCATAGATCCATGACTAAAACCAGCAGTCACCCCAATGTTGGGATTTTGAAAAATTCATCAACAATAAAAACATTGTGAATGTCACCTAGTGGCTATTTTAGACATTTACACATATCTGTTGTGCAGTGTTTACAGTGGTCTCTGCAGAAGATGCTTCAACTGTACTTCCTAAAAAGGAACATCAGTTTATTTAGCAAGTCTTGCAAATGCTGACTTGTTATCAGTAAATGTTTGAAGTTCTTATTTATTTATTTAAAACTTTTATATCCCGATCTTCTCTACCTCCTGTGTATATACCTGGGGTCATGTAAAAAATTCTCAGGTGGAAAGGGGAAAAGTTTAAAAAGCCCTGGCGTAGACTACCAGTGCTGGATTCAAGGCGAGTCCTGGATTTGTATTTCTATAGACAAGCCATAAAATGGTCTATGTGATGTCCCAAAAGCATTTACTGTTTTTGCCAAAAACTGAGAACAATGTATTTTAACAAGGATAATGAATTTCATCAAACCCTGCTATTTTATGCAATACTTTATTCCACATTTGCCTGAGTGACAAATCTCAATTTTTCCCTTCCACATTTTGCTACAGGACACAGCCTCAGAAGGTGAAAATGCAAAAAGCAGTGCTATTTTATATTCTTTTGCTTATTTCTCTGGGTATTGCTCTTGCTCAGAATGACAACAATGGAATGCCTAGGAGAGCAAGGAGGAGAATGCGCTATAGAGGATTAAGAAAGGGTTCCACGATATATCGTAGACTAAACAAGAAGCCTCAAGTAATACGTCCAATTCCTACTACTCCAGTACCAATCATCCCACTTATTGATAATGATGGTGACATTACAGGAGTAATTGATTCCCTTATTGGTTTGGATGGACAAGAATCCAGTTACAACATTTTGCCAGGTAAGCTCAGAAAATATACTTTTTGTTTTCCTAGCTAGCCATCCTTGCGAAATGGATTGTCTTCCAAACGCATGAACTAATTATCATTTTTTGCAGTACTGAGAAGTGTCAGAAAGTTAGCAATTGATCCAATGTTCGTGTCTACAGAAACACTGAGGTAACAATTTGTAAAATGTTCTTCAAACTGAGAACCTGACTGTCCACGTAGTGAAGCATATCATAGGTTCTGTAACTACTTAATGTTTTGATTATTATCTTCAAAGCATCCTATAATCAGGATGAAAATGCAAGCCACAATATAAATACCAATAGACACCCAGTCTAAAAGGAGACAAGAGCATTAAAAAAAGCATAGATGATGGAGACCTGCAAAAGCTCAACGAAACAAATTTTGCTTCATGGTTTCATTGGGTGTTCACTTTTTGTAGTATATTCTAACCGAAGGTGTAATTAGTTTTTCTGATCTTCAACGATCACAAGTAACATTTCCCTAAAAACATGGCTAAAATCCAACCTTGTCAAGCAGCATAAATTAGTATAGAAGGTCATGTAAAATTTCCCTATGTAGCAAGGGATATGAATCTTGGTCTCGCAGAGTCCTAATCCAACACTCGAAAAGCAGTACCATGCTACCCTCTTTCGACAATACTGACTTTCAAAATGGGCAGTATCCAGGGCAATACTTGCCTCCTCATTCATATCATGCTGACTGCACATTATTTATTTCCTTATTTTTTATTTCATTAATGCCCATATTTCCCTAGCAAGCTTTCTCTGGTAGAGAAATAGGACTGGTCCAAGGTCAGCTAGTAAATTTCATGGCGCGAATGAAGATTTGGATCAGAGTCTCCTGGTTTAGCCTTTCAGTTATTACACTATGCTGGCTTTTTCATATTGGATATTGATGTGTACCATCTCCAATATGTTGGTACAGTTATACTTGACACTGAAATAGGTGAGAAGCCTTTGTTCATGCAAAACAAGGGCTCATACAGAGTTTTCTATGAGGTTGGCGATGTGCAAAACTGTACCACCAGTATTACCATTGTTACACATTTTTAGTAATGATCTTGTCCTTGGTTTCTTTCATTAGGAAAACAAGGACGCTGTTTTGCAAATGGAATGATTATGTATGAGAATGCTGTGTGGTCTCCTAAACCTTGCATTACATGCCTCTGCTCAAAAGGGAAGGTGTTGTGTGATGAAACTTTGTGTCATCCTCTGACATGTGAGAACCCTAAGATACCTGAAGGAGAGTGTTGCCCTGTGTGTACAAACATTGGTACAGTATATTAATTTCTTATATACCTGAAATATATTTTACAATGGATAATGTAATTCATGCAAAAACCAAATACACAGGCATGAAAACCCGGACTCAACCTGAATTGGTACATGGTTGTCTTCATGATGTTCCTTCTCTTCTGGATTATATTGGGTGAATTTGGGTGATGCTTCAGAGTTTGTTTGAAATTCTGGAATATCCCATGGCTTTGAGGCAGTGGAGTCAGCTGGTTCAGATCCAATTTGCACTGGTCCACTCTCACACGGAATACCGCCACCATCATATTTTCCTCTTTGCTCATCAATGTAGGCAAAATGGGGTGGATCGTGCCTGTGTAGCTCCTGTTGCCACTCCCAACTGGTCAAAGAGCTTTGTGTAATCTCCTGGTTGTTGCAGGTGCCCAGTTCTGACATCAAGGGAGGTGCCATGAATAAGGAGGAAGAGTGTTGCTGCACTTCAACTTCTAGCATTCTTCATTATTGGCTAACTGGCTAGGGCTATTTAAGGACGCCACTTCTAAGTAATGGCTCTCTGCTGCCTTATTTATTTCACCAAACAAAATGAAGTGACTCTCCGTGATGAGATTCATTCTTAAACTTTCTATTTTTACATGCACTATATCTAACATGTCAAAAATCTCATCAGTCAGGGAACTTTGATAATGAGTGGCTGTAAAATAGTTCAGTTAAATAGCATCTGGAGATGGAGCAAACACTTTGTATGTCCATATGGGTCATACTTTCCTCAGTTGTTGTCCAAATCTCAACCACATTGGGGGTGAGGGGCACACTATATTGCTTCAAGAGGGGAATTCCATAAATCTATAATCCTGAGAATCAATAGTATGTATGTTAAACTATCACTTAACGTGAGCAAAAGGATTGTCTCTTTCTTGCATATAGTTGTTATACTACATTGTGATTTAATCTTATTAAATCACAATGAAGTATGCTATCTGGCAAATGTCACGTTACTGCAATTCCAAGTCACAAGACCTTTCTGTCAAATAAATATATTTCAAAATGATATATTTATGGAAACATTTTGGAAAAAACTTAGTTTAGAACAGCGGTTCTCAACATGAGGGTCCCCAGGTGTTTTGGCCTACAACTCCCAGAAATCCCAGCCAGTTTACCAGCTGTTAGGATTTCTGGGAGTTGAAGGCCAAAAACATCTGGAGACCCCAGGTTGAGAACCACTGGTTTAGAAGCTTAACTTCATAAATAATTACATAATGGAAAGTAACCAGAGCAATAACTGATCACAGGATGTTAGAAAACAAAATTGACCTGATCCAATAAAATCAACACAGAATCTTATATAGTCTTTCCACATTTGCAGATTTGATTATATTTATTTATTTACTTATTTACTTCATTTTTATCCTGCTCTTCTCACCCCTCAGGGGACTATTCATGGATTTGATTAAAACTGGAATCTCTAGTCTAGGTGAGATGACTCTACTATCAACTTCCTTCAGTCATTTGGAGGACCTAGAGATTTCTCGTGAGAACACTTCTCTAAGAATCCCTTAGTCCTTCAATTTGAAAACTAAAGTTGAAATTGACCATAGAGTCATGCTGAAAGAAACTGCTAGAGAGGTATTCTCTCAGGCAAAATATAACAATTTCTTTGTGGTTTTACATTTTCACTGTGATCTTGTGTCCCAAACCCTAGTGAATGTGAAAGGCTGACTGCATTTGTGTAGATATGCATACACATACCCACAAAATGAAGCCTATTGGTAACTCTTAATTATACTACAATCATTTCATCAATGAGAATTATCTAGCTGTTAACTCACAATTCAACAACAGATATAATGGATATATTTTGCTTGAGATTCAGAACTATAGGATTCAGGACTATGTTCACTATCAATGACACCACTAAAAATTATTTGGAAAAACCTTATAATTTTATATGCATCATTTGGAAATATTATTTTCTATTACATAATTGTGATTATTCTATTTATTGACACTTACTAGTAAAATCTGAATTATAGTTTATATCTTAATATTGCTGTCAATTGTCTTCATCACCATGGCTTCCTTACATTCAGGATCAAGTACTATTCCACTAGGTGATGCATCTGAATTTTCGGGTGACTCTCCAAAACCCAGTGACCATGGTGATCCAGTCCAGCATGATCGACGGACACAAGTTCAAAGGAATGAAAAAGAGGGGGAAGTACTTGAAAAAACAGAAATGAATATAAAAAAGAAAGGAACCATCAAAAGGAAAAGAATAAAAAGCCACAAACAGAGAAGAAAACAGGGAGACACAAACGTTCAAACGGAAAAAGAGGAGAATTTGAGAGCAGAGGAAGAAAAAAGGAAAGCATATGAAGAAGAAGAGTTAAGGATTGAAAAGGAACTCAAAAAAGAGGAAGAACAAAATGAAATCCAAGAGAGCGAAAGAAGTGAGGAGCAGGAGGAGGAAATAGAAGAAGAAGATATTTTGCGTGGTGATGTATTTAGAATGCCCCCTCGTTTCCCAATTCCTGTACCTTCAACTGAAATGCCTCCTTTGCCAACTGGATGTTCTGTCCTGGACAACACAGTAAGCTGTATTAATGCCAAACTTACACAAATACCACCCATCATGGATGCAGAGATTACAAGCATAGAACTTGTGGGTAAGGAATGTCTTCAAATAAAATATTTTAAATATTTTAACCTGCTCTTTTCATCCAAGTATTGTTTATAATGCCATTGCAAACACAATTATGATTTTAAAACCCCAACAAGTGGAACAATTCAGAGGGAGAAAAATTGTGAAGACCGCAGAGGCATATAAAATGCCTTGGCAAACCAACAAAGGTATTCATCAGTTAGCATCCATCTTTTGGGAAGGCACTCCAGGTTTGTGATGCCATTACAGAAAAGGCTGTCTTTTTCATATTCCCCTAAGAAACTCAACAACTGAGAAATTTGAAAATGCACTCTGAGAACTTTTATAAAATATCTACAGAAGCTGACTTCTGTTGATCTGAACAGTTTGTTCTTGGTATTATGTTAGTATTGCTATTTGCATTGGTCTGTAACATTATGAGAAGGAATGAGTTAATATGATGCCATTTTGGTATTGCCCCTTCTATTTATATTAAGTTCCTGCTTTTGCTGGAAATTTAAGAGCCAAATTGATACTTCATGTGCAAGGAATTAGATTGAATGCTCCTTGCATTTCTCTTTTATCACTACTAATTTGTGTGATCAAACCATAGTTAAGAATTATAAAAGGGGAAATGATAAACAAATAGAAATGACTTAAAAATATTTTTATTGACAATATGTTTTTCCCCCTAGGAAATAACATCACAACAATTCCAGCTGCAGCTTTCAATGGGATTCCTAATTTGGAAAGGATTGACCTTCGTAAAAATAATATCACGTCATCTGGCATAGAGCCACATGCATTTAAAGTAAGGAAATTAAAGTTGTAATGAGCAGTATCCCAGCACTATAAGCAGTGTAACATTGCAATAGATCCTACAGAATAGTGTAGGGTTTAAAATTATTTTCAATTAATGTCATTTTAATGATTCATAACAATGCAGATCAGTATGGGAATATAGGCAATATTATCCTTTTTTATACATTATTTCTACATATGCTAGATAGTACCGCACTGTTTCATGACATAAATGTGGGGGTGACTATCAAATATATGTATCTAATTTGATGCAGAACTGTATTCATAGTACAGAATATAGAGAATGTAAAGGACATTACAGTAGCAGTAGCCCAAATTTTTGGTGGAGTGGACCCTCTAGATCAGTAGTTCTCAACCTGTGGGTCCCCAGATGTTTTGGTCTTCAACTCCCAGAAATCCTAACAGCTGGTAAACTGGCTGGGATTTCTGGGAGTTGTAGGCCAAAACACCTGGGGACCTATAGATTGGGAACCACTGCTCTAGATATTGCTGGAGAGACCCTCCGAACTTCTGGAACATTCTGGAGCATAACTATATCCACTATATTTTCTTTCAAAGGAGCCAGATATATATTGGTTTGCGTGCTAGACTGCCACTATGATACATCATATGCACAAAAGTACATATGACTTTTGTGCCTTAAATGTAGAATTTGTATTTGTCTCTGTTGAATTTCATTTGATTAGAGACAGCCAGATCTTCAATTCTAGTACAATCTTCCAGTATGTTATCTACTCCTCCCAGTTTAGTTTCATCTGCTTACTTGGTGAGGACTATACACTATAGACTCAATGCAGTTAGACAGCACTTTCACTGACATGGCTCAATGTTTTGAAATCAGGGAAGTTCTAGTTTTACAGGGTCTTTAGCCTTTTCTGCCAGAGTGCTGGGAGGTTCCCCTCCCAGGATTCCATAGCATTCAGCCTGGCAGTTAAAGTGGTGTCAAACTACACTCATTCTACAGTGTAGATGCACCCAAGCTCCATCTAATCCATCATCTAAGTCAGTGGTTCTCAACCTGTGGGTCTGCAGATGTTTTGGCCTTCAACTCACAGAAATCCTAACAGCTGGTAAACTGGCTGGGGTTTCTGGGAGTTGTATGTCTAAACACTGGGGACCCACAGGTTGAGAACCACTGATCTGAGTCATTGATAAAAATACTGAAGACCAATGGTCCCAGGACAGAATCCTGCTGTACTCCTCTCAAAACTTCCCTCTAGTCTGAAGCATAGCCATTGATGATGGCTCTCTGAGAATAGTTTTACAACCAATTATGGATCCATCTGATGGGTTCCCCAATTATTTTACATTTAATCAGTTTGCTAATCAAAATATTATTCCAGGAAATCATAAAATGTTTTGAAGAAATTCCAATAAACTTCATTCTACTTCTCTCCCCACTATCTTATCTATCTATCTATCTATATATATATATACACACACACACACACAGAGAGAGAGAGAGACCCAATTTGTTTTTGACAAACTCATGTTGACTTCTACTAATCACTGCATTGTCATCTAAATGCTCACAAAGACTCCTTTATAATCTGTTTTAATATTTTTGCTGGTATTGAGATTATACTGACTGGCCTACATTTCCCTGAATCTTCTTTTTTGCTCTTTCGGAAGAGAGAGACAATTTGAGCTGGATCTCTTATCAGTTCTCTCTTTCTCTCTCTCTTTTTTTTTTGGAGGGTGTATGTGTGAAGAAAAATAGGTATTGAATAGATCTGCATTTCCATGATAATCTGTAAACATTTCACTATCCTTATTGTGTAGCACCCCAACTGTTTACTTAGTCATTCTCTTTCTTTTAATGTACCTGAAAATCCTCCTTTTGTTGCTTGTCTGGCAACAGTCTGTTGCTGAGTTTTAGCCTTTATACTATTCCTGCCAGCTTGGGCTACACATCTGGTCTCTCCTTGGTGATTCATCCTTCCTTCCATTCTTTACATATGCTTTTTTATTTCCAATTCTTGAGTTTGCCATGCAGCCGCATTGCCTTTTAATATGTTTCCCATTTTCCATGGGATTTTTTCAACTGTATTTTTTGCAGCTCCTCTTTCAAGAAATCCCATGCTTTCTGGGTGTTTCTTTTCTTTAGTACAGGCAGTCCCCAAGTTACAAACAAGATAGGTTCTGTAGGTTTGTTCTTAAGTTGAATCTGTATGTAAGTCAGAACAGGTACATTTTAAAGTGTAACTCCAGCCAAACATATATATTTATTTAGCTTTGGATGGCATAGGGAAAGAGAAAGGTTTCCCATTACATTAAGTCCAGTTGTCGCTGACTCTGGGGGTGGTGCTCATCTCAATTTCTAAGCTGAAGAGCCGCATTGTCTGTAGACGCCTCCTAGGTCATGTGGCTGACATGACTGCATGAAGCACTTTTACCTTCCTGCAGAAGTGGAACCTATTGATCTACACACATTTTCATGTTTCCAAACTGCTAGGTGCAAGTTGGTTAGCAAGTTCAGCAGCTCAGCGGTTTAACCTGCTGCACCACCAGAGGGAAGGATTAACACCCTTGTGACGTTTGTTTTGCTGTCTGTCTTTTTTCAGAAGATTTCACCTCACTTTCTCTCCCTGTGATAAGCGGATTTTGAAAAATTTGGCTCAGAATCATAGAGTTGGAAGAGACCTCATGGGCCATCCAGTCCAACCCCCTGCCAAGAAGCAGGAAAATTGCATTCAAAGCACCCCTGACAGATGGCCATCCAAGTCTCTGTTTAAAAGCTTCCAAAGAAGGAGCCTCCACCACACTCTGTGGCAGAGAGTTCCACTGTTGAATGGCTCTCACAGTCAGGAAGTTCTTCCTAATGTTCAGATGGAATCTCCTTTCTTGTAGTTGGAAGCCACTGTTCTGCGTCCTAGTCTCCAGGACAGCAGAAAACAAGCTTGCTCCCTCCTCCCTATGATTTCCTCTCACAAACTTATACATGGCTATCACGTCTCCTCTCAGCCTTCTCTTCTTCAGGCTAAACATGCCCAGCTCTTTAAGCTGCTCCTCATAGGGTTTGTCTTCCAGACCCTTGATCATTTTAGTCGCCCTCCTCTGGACACATTTCAGCTTGTCAATATCTCTCTTCAATTGTGGTGCCCAGAACTGGGCACAATATTCCAGATGTGGTCTAACCAAGGCAGAATAGAAAGGTAGCATGACTTCCCTAGATCTAGACACTATACTCCTATTGATGCAGGCCAAAATCCCATTGGCTTTTTTTGCCACCACATTACGGCTTGTTGTGGAAACAAGGATTGGCGATAAAGCTTCAGTTGGAACACCTTTTCCCCACGATAACTCTTTCAGGAGGGTATTTCCCTTCCTGGGGATAGATTATCTCACTTCTTGTTGTCTCACTCCCATTTGTAACTGAGTCATTTGTAACTTGGATGTTTGTATCTCTAGTCATGAAATCCCACTCAATATTTTCTTGAGTTTGTTAAAATAAGCTTCCCTGAAATCCAAGGTTTGTATTTGACTATGCTCTTATGTGCCAAGTTCCACAATTGTTAGTTCTAGCATGACATGGACACTCCCCCGACTTCGATTCCATTGGCCAACTACTCTCTATTGGTTAGGATCAAGTCTAGGATAGTTGATCCCCCTGGTTCCTTCCAGTATTTTTTTGAAAGAGGAAATTATCCATAAAGCACATCAGGAATTTGCTGATTCTTACCAGAGTTAGTCTCCTGGGAGATATCAGCTTAACTGAAATCCCATATAACTATTAATTCTTTGAGATTTCTGAGATTTTTTCTGAAAAACATCAACAACAATTTGCAATAAACCCTTACACAATATTGGTTTTATTTCTTTTCCCATTTATTTTTATCTAAATGCTCTCACAGATTGTCCATTCTGATAACTCTTGGGGATTTCTTTACAAGTCAATTTGTCTTTGGCATATAATGCTTTTCCTCCTCTATTTCTGCCTGAAGACATTTTAGTCAATGTAGACCATTTATAAAAATCATGAAGGAAATGTTAACACAAAACAAAGAGTGCTGGAAAACACACACTGAGGAATGTTACGTGGGTATATGCTGGCAATTTGAATTCTCATATTTTGTAACTGGCTTTTTCTGGTGCTTCAGATCCTGAAGAATCTACAGCGTTTATATATGGATGGAAATGCACTAGTTCACGTTCCAGCTGGTTTGCCATCAACTTTAGAAGAACTTAAAATAAACGAAAATCAACTACATGCAATTGATGAAAATAGCTTTCAAGGTATTTGTCAATAAACAATTCAGATAATTCAGGTAACAAGACTTTTCAGATTAATGTTAAGGAAAAGCTGATATTAGAGGTGAAGAAGTTCCTTATAATTATGAAGAATGTCTATTTTCCCATATACGATTCTACCAATAAGAATATCTTATACCAACTACAATTGCTTAAAAGCATTCTTACACTTAAGGAAAGCTCATACATTACAGAACTCTCCATGTTAAGAGCTATGTCGAAAACCATGTTGTGTAAGCAAAATTTCTCACAAGCACAATTACGGAAATACTAGCAGAAATGCATCCACTAGAATGGGAGTAAATAAAAACTAGTCAACTGCATCTCTTAGAGTCAGTTCTGTACAAACTGGCTTTAACCAGTTCATACACAAACCGGTTAAATTAATGATAGTATTCTTATTATGAATAATTTGAATATATTCAGATGAGTGAGGAGGTAGATGCAGCTTGGATTTTTTTCAAAGCAAGCTTCCTAGAGCATGCTTTCACATCCTGGCTGCTACAAATGTAGTAATACCTCTAGATCAGGCATCCTGCGTCCCTTCAACTCCCAGATGCCCTAACAAGCTTTTTCAATTGTCAGGAATTCTGGGAGTTGAAGGCCCAAACAGCTGGAGGGCCGCAGTTTGAGGATGCCTGCTCTAAATCCTCTAGTTACTTCAAAATACAATTTGCACTTTCAACTTACCTGGCTCAAAAGTGATACAAACTAAACATTCCTTCCTTATTTTTATAATTGTTTGGAATGCAAAGCAAGCTCACAATACTCCTGATAATGGGAAAATTGGCTTCCAATAGTAGGAAATTTCTAGTCATCCAGATGTTTTCACCTACAACTCCCAGCAGCCTTGCGTTTCATGGCCAAAACATCTAGTCAAAGTTTCCCCATTGCTGATCTAAAATCCCTTCACTTTTAGATAAATGTTGCTTAACCCAGCAAATTACGTAAATTCCCAAAGTGTTCTTTTAAGCGTCCACAGACCAGAGGATAGCTCAGTGCTGCTTTCAAGCTCCAGAACAAAAGAGATTATGCATCTTCAGTGGTTGTTTATTTAAAAAAAACTCATGAATGCTTATAACCCATGTTAGCTACTGAAAGCTTAGATGTCTTCCTTTGTGGATGTCTAGTTCTGTATAAATAACTGGTGCTGGGGACCTCAACTAAAATAGTTTAAAATAGTGGCATGACTTATGATTCAAAATAGTTTCCCAAGAGTACTCTGGAAAATATTTATTATTTAGTGACTCATTCTAGAATGAAAATGTTGGGAGTTTACCCATAACCAAAAATGCTTTGTGGTCATTTGCTCACAAACCCAGCAATTGTAAGACTTTGATTTCTATGAACATTATATTGATTGAAACTGGAATGCACAAAAATGGTAAGAAAAGATTGTTAGAGGCATAATGCAACTTGATTACAGCACAACATTGTGGAGGTAACATGAATCTTTTTGAGAGACACCCCTCATTCCAAATGTTGTGGTCCAGTAGAAATAATGGCTATAAACAGATGTCATAACTCATCCCATAGAGTCTAAAATACAGGATGAAGGTGAGTTAGATAGAGAAAGGTCTTGCCTCAATACAAATAGGTAGTTGCTAATGCAACTGATGAAAAAGTTTTGCAGTGGAAGCCCTACTTCAACTGCAGTTGAGAGAAATGGAGAAGATATCTCCATGATTTATGGGATGCCATAATAACAAGAAAAACACCTCTTGATAATGAAAAGCTGTTGTTTATCACGACTGCTGGCTTCTCATGACGAATTCTAGAACAGCTGAAACCTTGCTCCACACTTCCCTTTAGCCTTAGGAAACATCCTTGAATACCTGTGTGTACAACAAGGGCCGCCTTGATTTATCCATAATTGATTCTCCATACCACTGCCTGTTTATCCTGGCACTTGTTGCCTGCAGGCATAGGAAAATAGCCTTAAATCAAAGTGCACAGGGACTTTGAATCACACTCCCAGAGCAACCAGGAAGTGAAAAGTCTCTTTTAGAATATGACACACTTCCAGGAGCCAGTGCATAGTAGCATTCGTTCACTTAGACTTCCTGTGGCACAGTAAGTTGGTTGAATGCTTCCAAATTTGAGCACTCTTGCAATATACTCTGAACCTGCTGTCACATCCAACTATTATTTATTATAACCAGCACAAACCTGAAACCCAGGTTCTTCTTCTTATCTGTGATCTACCTGGGCTTTAGAAATTGGAAGATCACTGTCCAAAATGTTTAATAATATTGTTAATATTTCATATCACATTTTAATTTACTGTGCTTTTATTTATAATTATTTTTAAAACTTGTCAAATGTCTCAAGTTTTTTTAGGAGAAAAATTGGATATAACTGGAATAATTAAATCGAGGTTTACTTTTTCCTTATGGAGTCAGCCTTCTGACTATAAAATGCTTATTTTTCCTCACTGTACTTGGATCCTAGATTTTATCATCAGCCTATGTATCTGCAGAAGCTTGATGTCAGGCTGTTGTGTCCATTTTTTAAATAGTGCGATACAATAAAATACCATAGCAAATATTAATGAACAACTTATTATAGCCACAGCTTTGTTTTATGAACCCATAAACTAGCTAGCACTGGATACAAACTGTATGCAACCAAATCTTAAGCAAATTCTGCTCTTGTTAAAGAACATTAATATAATATTAATATAATGCTCCTTCAAATATTTTGGGAATGCATTGAATGAGAATATTGAAAACCAGTCTTATGGTCATCACTAAGCTATGAACGTCACTGAATGAGATGAGACAAGTCATCATTCTTAAGTGAAAACAATAAGTAGTATTTTAAAATGATATTGTAATATAATGATTTTTTTACAATTACTTTATTTCCTGAAGGTTTAAAAAAGCTGGTGACCCTGGAATTAGAAGGAAACAAACTTAGTGAAGCAAATGTCAGTCCTTTAGCTTTCCAGCCTTTGAAGAGCTTATCATATTTGCGCCTTGCACGAAATAAATTTCGGATTATTCCACAGGGGCTTCCCCATTCCATTGAGGTAAATATTGTTTTTAAGTGAATGTTTCTTTCTCCTTTTTTGTATGCTTCAATGTAACTTTATTCATTGGTAAAGACCAGTGAGTTCAAGAATACTATGTTATACTTAACTATTTTTAGGCGGATTTCTGCTTTTTTTTCTTTTCAGTTAAGTATTTTTACAAGGGAACATGGAGAACACTGACTTCCTTTGGCATTTCACTTGAAAGCATTTTAAAAATGTACTAATAACATTTTCCCTTGTTTTTTTCCTTTTCTTGCCATGTGTTTAACAGGAATTATATCTTGAAAATAATGAAATAGAAGAAATCACAGACATATGCTTTAACCACACTAAAAATCTAAATACAATTGTTCTAAGGCACAACAAATTAGAAGAAGGCAGAATAGCCCCTTTGGCATGGATCAATCATGAGTAAGTGTGACCAATTTGCTTCTCTTATATTGCATTTTTTGGGTATTTTACGACAGAATTTTTTAAAACTGTACTGTATAGAACACAAAGGTTCCAAGCAATGTATTTTGGTATAGTAGACACCATTATTTGCTGACTGTCTTACTCAACAAGTATAGGACAGAGAACATGGGTAGGAGAGAGTGTGCTCTTTCCACTTTGTGCAGGATTTTACAGAAGAGAATAGCAAGAGTTATTTGTAGCACTTCTGCCCCTGCCAAATGTCTCAATGCAAGGTCATCGTTGCCCCCCCCCCCCTCCCACACACACACAATTTCCTATGGGAAGGGGCAGAATCTTCAGTATTACAGGCTGTGTATACATTATCTGAAATACTTGAAATGAGAAGTGTTTTGGATTTTAGAATACCTCTGTTTGCATATATATGCATAGTGAGATATTTTGGAGATATGAACCAAGTCTAAAAACAAAATTCATGTATGTTTCATAGACACATAGAGACACATAATCTTAAGATAATTTTATACACAATAATTTGTAATAATGTTGTACATGAAATAAAAGTTATGCACACTGAATCACAAGAAAGCAAATGTATCCCTATCTCAGCCACCCATGAGATGAGGACAATGTCAGGTTTTGAAGTTTTTTGGTACTCTGGATAAGGGATTCTCAACCTGTATTTTATTCATGGTTGAGAGAAAGACAACATCAATATAAGTATCCATGTTGCCAACTGCCCCTTTCCCATTACAAGACAAGAAGTGGGAAGTAAGAAAATGTATAGCAAGCATATTAAAAAATTGAACGGATGAGGGCTTTTTTTTCCTTCTGCAGTGGCAAAGTTGAGGAAAAAATCCCACCCACATGCCAGAAAACTACAGTATGGGATTCATGCTGATACATTTTCTGCTGTACTTCTGAAGAAAGCAATAAAGACATAAAACCCTTCCATTGATAGGAGTCCAGCACAAAGTGCATTTGAGAGAAAACCGACCAAGGCACATTTTGGTGCTTAAATGTTAGACCTGTTTGTGGGTATATTTGACCTGCTGATTCAAAAAATGGCACCAGTTTTCTCATATCAACTGTCGTTTTTGAGATACAGAACATGTGCTACCTACCAGTCCCCATTTGCTTGTTCACAGAAAAACATGATAGCCATATCTAAGAAACTAGAGCTGATGCAGTCTATCCAAGGCAGTTTTCTGAATCAGTGCCACAAAAAAAGCCAGGAACAGGCCTAGAAACCAAGACACCAAGAAAAAAAAATCTTGTTGGGCTGTATAATTTGAGCAATAATATGATAGAGGTGGGTAGTTGTGATGGCAACACGGCAAATGAACTCTTTTGGTTTTCTGCTGGCAACATGGATAAATATTGACTCTCATATACTAGCCTAACATGACTATTTTGAGATTCTTCCATTTATCATCACACTGATGTTTAATCAGAACAACAGCTAGAAGTCCAAAGGCATACAACAACAAACAGCAAAAAACACCTTCTGTCAAAGGGATCATCATAATCCTAAATACTTGGATTAGAATGTTACTAGAATAATTTATGTACAAGTTACACAATATTCCAGTAAATTAACTGAATACTGAAAAATACTGAAATATACACCAAAAAATATTGAAATAAGGCATCTAGTTATATCATGAATTGTGCACATCTTTTACCTTCAAAATAGAGAGAAAACGTAAGAACCCACACATTGTTATAATCATGAGTGATAGAAGTATGTGAGTCATACTTCACTTTTGCAGGGTTTAGAGGTGCAGAACCTTTGAAGATTTTTTAAATGCACAAATAAACATACCATTTTAATTGAAAGAGCACCTCTCTAGGAAACTCTAGAGTGACTCCATGGTCAACTTCTAGAACACCTAGATATTCCTAGAGTGTACTTATTAAGAAAATAATTGAATAATTACATCTGCAAAAGTTAAATCCGCCAGTTGTTGAGGGCTGACGGTATCTCTTTTAAAGTGAAAGATTTCTAACATTTGGGATTTATGATAGTTCAAGTAATCCAAGTCATGAAAAATAAAGTAATTAAAAATTTGATGAGTGGGAAGAGGATGTGGTTTAATACTACTTTAGTTCAGATGCCCTAACTAAATGGATGCGGGGAATTAAAAAAAACATTTGGACTGATGAATATGATCAAGGTTCTTACTCTTTTTCTGAAGAATTTGTCAGCTCCTAGAAACTGACAGTTATGTAAAATATTTGGGCAATAGCTATGGGAAAAGTGTAGGTGGTAGGAAAATAAGTTATTTTTTAATGGAAAAATGAGATGTTTATTAAGGACAAATGGTTTGCTGATACTTTTTGTCCTACAGCCTCTACTCTTTTGTTAATTAGTCCAGAGCAGTATCAGTTGAAAGGCTTCAAAATTCCATTTGCTTATGGCATGAAAAAGTATTTCTGTGCAACCAAATGTCTTCACCATTCCTCCTTATGGCGGTAAAGAGCTAGTAGGTCTTTACATCTAAAATGCTGCATATCAGAACTCTTATTTTAGTTTTTAGCAGATGGGAAAAAGAAACAGAGTACATGCTGCAGTTTAAGTACTATGAGTGTACCAGACAACATCTTGAAGAAGCTGGGGTGGCGATAGCTACAGGGAGCACTGGTGTGGGCTGCTCCATGAGGTTATGAAGAGTCAGAGCGACTAAACAAATGGAAGGGTAGGAGGGTCAAAGCACAGTAAAAACACACAAATACTATACAAATTCTACAAACATACATATAAAAATGAAGTTCCATATCAAAGCATTTCTATAAAATATACATTAATCACACAGGACAGATACCAAAACACAGGACATGAGTTTAAAATTCATGCTTTCAACTAGCTGGATACGCTCTCCTATCAAGAAATACAAAACTATGTCCCAAATGTTGTTGGAACAAAAGATAAAACTTATTCTTTTCTGACAGATGACCATGTGCTTCAGTGTTGCTTGACATTTGCTTTAGAATATGTTGTTTTGCATGAATCATGTAATCTTACCTTTGTGCATCTTGCCCTTTTCTTTATTTTAGGAACCTGGAATCCATTGACCTTTCTTACAATAAGTTGTACCATGTTCCCTCCTATCTGCCAAAATCATTAGTGCACCTTGTACTTATAGGGAACCAAATTGACAGAATCCCAGGATTTGTATTTGGACACATGAGGCCTGGTCTGGAGTACCTTTACCTTTCATTTAACAAACTTGATGATGATGGGATTGACCCTGTGTCATTCTATGGGGCATATCTTTCTCTCAGAGAAGTGTTTTTAGATCACAACCAGTTGAAGTCTGTGCCACTTGGAATTGCAGAAATGAGATCACTAAATTTTCTCAGGCTCAACAACAACAAAATAAGGTAATAAAAATGGCTAACTATAAATATTGTATAAAACTGGGTGGATTAATCGCTTTCTTCTCTAAACACTTCACTATACTGTTGGCCTTCCATATCCAGGGAGTCTGAATCCATGGATTCAACCATTCATGATGACTCAAAAAATTTAAATAAAAAAACACCAAACCCTTATTTTGCCATTTTATATAAGGGAAACCATTTTTCTACGCTGTTATCTATAATGGGACTTGAACATCCACAGATTTTGGTATCCACATGGTGGTGTCCTGGACCCAAATCCCAATGGAGTCCAAGGGCCCATAGTATATCAATGTTTGCTGGATACTGACTTAATTTTTAACGGAAATTTTGGTATACAGCTAGGAAATCTAAAGCGATCACCATCTCCCTTTCATAATATTAGAATTTATAGTCACCCAAGTAGATTAACTGTTGTGTTAGTTCTGCAATACAATGTTGCATTGTGCCCACATCACCAAAGAAAAGAGGTTGGTGTTGCTTTTAGGTTCTCCTGGGATGAGTTAAGATACAGTAGTTACACTGATCTGTAGATAAGTTGATCCAGTTTTGGGGTGGGGGGTGATTTTTGACTAATATTTCTCCATGTGCACACATACACACATAGAGTATCTCATTTCTTCCCCTGTTGTGCTATACAGTACTAGAAGCATGCCAAAACCAGTCTGAGGACTTTATAATATAACTATATAGCAAGGTAGTAGTGGTATGGAAAGCAGGAAATGTGACTTTTTCTCTTTCTTTCACACTATAATCTCACAGCATGCATCCAACACACTTGAATTTCCCTGTCAGTTTCATATTATATAAAGTTTCATATATCTGCCTCTAGTTTTCCGAGTTCCTTATTAAAAGAAATTATTAGGTGGGTTCATGAAGCTTTCATAAACAGCTGTTTGGCATGATTCCAAGATCCTTGTTTAAAGAAAATATCTAAATAATATGGGCAAGTGTTGTGGAAAATCTGTAACATCCCCTCCTCAAGCTTTGCACTGCTCCAAACCACATTCTGCACTAGATGGGTCTTTTTCTATTCTAAGAAGGCTTTCCCCTCCTACAAACATGACCAAAAGGATATGATAAATCTGAAAGAGCAAGTAGTTTGAACCCCGTTTTAGCACCTTAATTCCAATGGCAATGGTAAGATCTGTTGGCTTCCCAAGTTTACACATTTAAATCTCTGACCATTTCTAATGTGTGTTCCCTCTTATTTGTGTCATATGGTGACAAAAGTAGTCTTGAAGTATCTCTATACAAGATATGTACAAGTCGATTTAATTCCTTTATTAGTATGGTGATATGCTGCAGAATCAGCCATATTTGTTTCAGAACCAACTTGCATGGAGTTGGGTTCTAAATCTAGTTTGCTAATAATGGCTGAAGTCTTATCTACAGTGATGTGAGAATAAAGCTCACTGAATTCATTGGAGCTTATTTATTTATTTTTATGCGTTATTTTGCGACTGAGACTAGCTAGTGGGCCCTGATGTGTGATGAAAAACCTTATCTCGCAAGTGTGAGTCCATCTGCCATCTATTTCTGATTTAAAACACATACGTATTTTAATGATATTATTTTCAGTACTTTTTACAAATGTTTCACTGTGTCCTATATGATTTTTACAGAGCAGTCCCCACAGAGCGCATCTGTAGAATTAGAAGGGATGATGAGGATGATGAGGAAGAAGCTGACAGTGAAGAAGATCATGACTATGAAGATTCACAACTGGAACATCTTCACCTTGAATATAATTATATAAATACCAGAGACCTTTCTCCATATGCTTTTTCATGTGTTAGATCATACTCCAGTGTGGTTCTGAAACCTCAGAAAATCAAATAAAGGAGCTGCTTTCAATCACAAAACAGATTTTATATGTAAATAAAATACTTATATTAACTCATCATCAATGACTGAACATCATTATTACTCGATATTATTTATTATTAATGAAGGGTGAAGTGTTAAGTGTAGGAATGCTTTCAGGAAAGTGACATAGTTTAAATACCAGAAATATAAGAGTAGTATCTTTGATCTCATTCAGTCACACAAATTGCTTACATGAATATTCATTTTTGAATGTCAATGTTATAAGGAAGCACAATAAAAGTGGATTTTATTGGTATTCTGATTAATTTTAAAGACTTAATTTGATCAAGATGAATCCAGCAGCTGTGGCTGGTCCTGGAGATGCCTCATCTGCCAATGGTAACACATACGTTAGTTACATCCCATCAGGATTATTGCAACATTGCTCTAAATGAAGCTGCTTTTGAAAAGTGTTCAGAAATGTGAGCTGGCTCTCAAATCTGCAACCAGATGGCTGAGTAGGGGTAATTACAGGGAGTTCATGACTCCCTTGTGACATCAGCTTCACTGGTTATTGCTTGGTTCCATGGCACAACTCAAAATGCTGGTTATGACCTATAAAGCCCTATATGGCTTAGGTCCAGGCTCTTTGAAGGAAGGTATTCCCCCACATGAGCCTGTCCAGAGAGATCTTTGGGGGAAGCCCTTCACTAGCCCAACACTCTCATGAGCACATCTGGTGGAAACTGAGAATATGGTCTCCAGTGTCATGAAACTCCATTCCTAAGAGTTTTATTATTTGTTGCTCTTCTATCAGCAAGTAGAGATTTTTTTGTTGTTATTCCAACAAGATTTGAGAATAATTTAGAAAGAATGAGCTTTTAATTCTGTGCAATACTGTTTTCATTTCTCGACTTTTAATTGATATAATTGAAATCGTTTTAAATTCTAAAGATAGTTTAACTTAATTCCTATAAAACTGTATGTTTTTATTTATATCCGCTTTTATTGTACCGGTTTTAACTTTTTAAAGCCACCATGAATACCAGTTCTGGAGGGAAAGGTGGAAATAAATAAATGAACATGATAATGATGCTTCCTGTAGCAATTTCAATGGAAACAATCTAAACCAGAAAATCAATCTTCTAACCAACATGCGTTAACTCAGGCGATAGGAAGAATGAATTACATTACTCAGATCTAGGAACAAGATGGCTTTTCCCTGTAATCCACATTCCAGATTCCCAAGACAACGGAAAGCAGCCAAAAGATGACACAGTTGTTCCCATGCAAACACTCCAATTCAAACTATGGAAGCTTCTGTTGAAATAATTATATGTGCATGTTCTAAAAAGGTTTTGATTGATGTAATGTTCTACCAAATATGTTTGTTCTATCTTCATGAGCCTTGCTATGGTGGTTGTTGCTGAGGAAGAACTACAAGTAGCTCCAGAATCCTCTGATAAACTGTATATCATGTAGTCTCCCTCCCTCCCATAATAGGGCCTTACCATTCAAAGAGCAGTCAGAAGTCGAGGGAGATGAAATGGCAAGGTATGTTGGTGAATCACCTAGAATTTTTATTTAAGCATCACCAAATGACATTTTGGTGGCAAAATTGGCCAGACAATCATTTTGGTGGCAAAATGCGCCAGACAGTCAAATAGGCTGTCTGGCTCATTTTGCAGCTGGAATACTTTGACAGGCTCCATGGTACCTGACCTTCTGCTACAAACAAAACATCTACAACATAGCATCCGGATTTAATACATACCAACTGGCCATGAACACAAGATCTTGCTTACTTCAACAATGGCACAATTTAATGGCAAATATTAATGCTTAATTCAGGATACATTAGAGTGTGTGCCCTCTTTTCCTCATATGCTCTCCTTGCACACAGTATTTGATTTACAAGAACTGTGACTTCGAAGAAGATTCAGTTCTTCTTTTGCAATACTAGCACAACATATTTTGACAGTTAAGCAGTGGAAACACCAATGGCTTATGAGGTCGTACTAGTCAAATATAGGATGAAAGCAGTTTCTAAATATATTGCTAACATTGTAGTATCCGTTTTGTTTACCAATACAGAGGAAACATAAAAAAAATATTAAATTAGAGATCATGAAATAAATTTTTGGCCCTGCCTTATGGGCTTTCTTTCATATCAATTCTTTTTAGTACTCTTACTACTGTCCAACTATAAGATTTATGGACACAGGCTGCTTCCTCTTAAAATAGGCAGTTTGAAATTGTATAGCAATGTGATAAGAGAATAATTAAATTGAGTGTGAAAAGACATAACTAAGACTTAGTCTATATGACTTCACTGTTGCTAAATTGCTTAGGTGTGAAGTCTCCATCTATCTTTAATGTCCTGGAACATAGGCAGAGGCCAACAGAAGGTTCACTACACATTTTATTTTTGGGAGCCAATAAGGAGATCATGGAATAGACAATTTAGTCAATGTACGTGTCACAGAAATTGGTATGTCCATTATGTTTAATTTTAAATATGATACATCAAAGAAGAGAGTGCCTTGGACCACCAGAAGATCCAACCAGTCCAAACTTCAGGAAATAAAGCCCATTGCTCATTGGAGCTCCAGCAAAGGATCACCGCCTTGTCGGGGCGCTGGAGCTTGAGCACCTCAATGATGTCATGAGCGAAACCGTGAAGGGCCACCCAAGACGGGACGGTTGTGGCAGAGAGGTCAGACCAAGCGTGATCCCTGGGGAAGGCAATGGCAAACCACTCCAGTATCCTTGCCAAGAAAACTAAATGGACCAGTACAACCAGAGATATGTCGGTATGCCATTGGAAGATGGGACTCCCAGGTCGGAAGATGGCCAAAATGCTACTGGGGAGGAGCAGAGGATAAGTTCAACTAGTCCCAGATGTGATGACGCAGCTAGCTCAAAGCCGAAAGGAAGGCTAGCGGCCGACGGTACTGGAGGTGAACGACGAATCCGATGCTCTAAAAATCAACACACCATAGGAACCTGGAATGTAAGATCTAGCTAGCTCAAAGCCGAAAGGAAGGCTAGCGGCCGACGGTCCTGGAGGTGAACGACGAATCCGATGCTCTAAAGATCAACACACCATAGGAACCTGGAATGTAAGATCTATGAGCCAGGGCAAATTGGATGTTGTTATTGGCGAGATGTCAAGACTAAAGATAGACATTCTGGGGGTCAGCGAACTGAAGTGGACTGGAATGGGCCACTTCACATCAGATGACCACCAGATTTACTACTGCGGACAAGAGGAACATCGAAGAAATGGAGTAGCCTTCATAATTAATAAGAAATTCGCTAAAGCGGTGCTTGGATACAACCCAAAAAATGACAGAATGATCTCAATTCGAGTGCAAGGAAAGCCTTTCAACATTACAGTGATCCAAATATACGCCCCAACCACAGCTGCTGAAGAAGCAGAAGTAGATCAGTTCTATGAGGATCTGCAGGACCTACTGGATAATACACCAAAAAGAGACATTATTTTCATTACAGGAGACTGGAATGCCAAGGTGGGAAGTCAAATGACAACTGAGATCACAGGCAAGCATGGTCTGGGAGAACAAAATGAAGCGGGACGCAGGCTGATAGAATTTTGCCAGGAAAACTCGCTGTGTATAACGAATACTCTCTTCCAACAACCTAAAAGACGGCTTTATACATGGACCTCACCAGATGGTCAACACCGAAATCGGATTGACTACATCCTTTGCAGCCAAAGGTGGCGGACATCCATCCAGTCGGTGAAAACAAGACCTGGGGCTGACTGTAGCTCAGATCACGAACTTCTTATTGCCCAATTTAGAATAAAACTAAAGAGATCAGGGAAAATACACAGACCAGTTAGATATGATCTCACTAACATTCCTAGCGAATATACAGTGGAAGTGAAGAACAGATTTGAAGGACTAGATTTAGTAAACAGAGTCCCAGAAGAACTATGGACAGAAGTCCGAGACATTGTTCAGGAGGCGGCAACAAAGTACGTCCCAAAGAAAAAGAAACCCAAGAAGGCAAAATGGTTGTCTGCTGAGACACTGGAAGTAGCCCAAGAAAGGAGGAAAGCAAAAGGAAACAGGGATAAGGGGAGATATGCCCAGTTAAATGCGCAATTCCAGATTAGCCAGAAGAGATAAGGAACTATGATTAAACAAGCAATGCATGGAAGTGGAAGAAGAATAGGAAGGACAAGAGACCTCTTCCAGAAAATTAGAAACATTAAAGGTAAATTTCAGGCAAAAATTGGCATGATAAGAAACAAAGACAAGAACCTAACAGATGCTTAAGAGATCAAGAGAAGGTGGTGAGACTATACAGAAAATCTGTATAGAAAGGATCATAATATTGAGGATAGCTTTGATGGTGTGGTGAGTGAATAAGAACCAGACATCCTGAGAAGTTAGGTTGAATGGGCCTTAAGAAGCATTGCTAACAACAAGGCAGCAGGAGATGACGGGATCCCAGCTGAACTGTTTAAAATCTTAAAAGATGATGCTGTCAAGGTGATGCATGCCATATGCCAGCAATTATGGAAAACACAAGAATGGCCATCAGACTGGAAAAAATCAACTTATATCCCCATACCAAAAAAGGGAAATGCGAAAGACTGCTCAAACTTCCGTACAGTGGCCCTTATTTCTCATGCCAGTAAGGTAATGCTAAAGATCCTGCAAGGAAGACTCCAGCAATACATGGAGCGAGAGTTGCCAGATGTTCAAGCTGGGTTTAGAAAAGGCAGAGGAACGAGAGACCAAATTGCCAATATCCGCTGGATAATGGAGAAAGGCAGGGAGTTTCAGAAAAACATCTACTTCTGCTTCATTGACTATTCTAAAGCCTTTGACTGTGTGGATCATAATAAATTGTGGCAAGTTCTTAGTGGGATGTGCATCCCAAGCCACCTTGTCTCTCTCCTGAGGAATCTGTACAAGGACCAAGTAGCAACAGTCAGAACTGACCACGGAACAACAGACTGGTTCAAGATTGGGAAAGGCGTACGGCAAGGCTGCATACTGTCACCCAACCTTTTTAACTTGTATGCAGAACACATCATGCGATGTGCGGGGCTGGATGAAT